AAAAAACTAAATATACATGTAAATTGAGATATAGCTTACACTGCAAAAGGCTATTTAATTGATTAAATATGAGCGCTGCAAGTTTCAAAGTCAGGTGCTGCGCTGCTTTGTTTACTGAGGTTACAGGGGGAAACTGATATATTCCTGGCGAAAAGCGCCACCTGCTGGTAGAGAATGAATTTGCATTTTTTTCAATAAGCCCTTCTGCGCTTTGTTTAGACCAAAGCCAAAAAACGACCCTTATTTTTACGCATAAAACACGCAGTTATAAATGTAAACTGGTGGATCGACAAGAAGATAATGAATTATAAAACTCTAAAGATATAGCCTACGCTAAGATACATTTATGTTACTAAATGAATATAATTGTTTGATAATAATTGTTTAAATTAATATAAAAATAATATAATATAATATAAAATTACTTTTGACTCCACCCCCCTTTCCCGTATTTTGGTACCCAAATGTTGTCAGGTATGGCACAGAGGAATGACATTGTTGAAATAACTTTGAAAAAACCTTTTTTTCCAGCTAATGAATGATAAAAACTTTGACAGCCAATCAGAGAGCTTTAAAGAGCTTGAGCAGTTAAAGCAGCAGACGACATAACTGCAGCTTATATTAAATAGACAGTTATTGAGGCTAGGTAATATTATTATCATTATAGCTATCATTCTTGGTGTAAACGAGTCTTAACAGTTGTTTAGTCAGCCCTCTGTATTGGAATGTCACGATTTCCCAGCATGCACTACACTGGTATATAATGTTGGATAAATTAAATATTACCAATTTCAATATATTGCAAGTATATCATTTAAAGTGTCACATATATTGACACATTGTTCTAATCTATCAATCAAAAGGAAGTCAAATTGACAGTTAAATTGACAAATTACAGTATTTATAAAGGAGTATTATATATTTTAAGAATCTTATACTTTCATTAATCACTGCTTTCCCCACAATACTAGACATTGTGTGGTTTCATTGTATTTAATTATTTTTCAGAGGAATGTATTTGTTATTTTCTATTAGAAAGTAAAGTATAGATTTTAGATGATTAGATTATGTTCTAATTTAACATCTCATAAGTTAATACTGTTCGCACTAAAGTTTTCAGAGAGTTTATTTCTATTTTCTATAGAAGTCATCTATTTTGAACCCTCTTGTGGAATTCCTCAATCAATACTCTGCTGCTTTTGAACCAAAGTCTGTGGGTACCGACCATGATTATGGATCTTTCTTTATGAGATTTAATGACTTTACCAGTATAAAAAACAAGGAATCTGTTCTGTATATTCCAGCAATGTGCCAGACAAACATCTGTGACCTACAGGCCCTGGTTAAAAGGCTTCTTTGACCTCGCTTAACCTTTGATGTCTGATTTGACCCCCAGCTTGCTGTGTTGTTTGTCTACTCTCCCTAAATGCAACTTACTTTACGCATGCGTCAACATCTTGCAGTAAAAAAAAAACTTAACCCATTTTCAGCCAATTTTCCTCTCTCTTTGACATACATCCAGACTGCACGCCTGTTACATGTTTAAGACTAACAATGACAGATATATTTGTCTTTGGGTCACATGACAGAGGACGCAGTTGTCTGTTAAACTGTCCCTCTCGATTGTGTCTGTTTTATAGTTTGTGCATCTGGTTGTAGTGTGTGAAAATTAGAATTGCTTTGTTCTTTCGTCTCTGGGAATTTTGTCGTTTTAGTTTACACACTCAAATCAATTTCATTTTTTGTTGGTTGTTGGTTGAATTTTTTGGGTTCAAAATTAGTGGTGAAATTTGAACTAGATGTGAATATCAAATCACAATTATCATTAATTTGATGACGTGTTTTGATTTTTGGTCTTCTTTTTTAGATTTGGAACTAATTCAATGAAAATTCCATGTGCCTCCAGTGATAAATCATTGAAATCGTTTTAAAATGACAAGAATAACATCAAGAACAAAATTGTATCTCAAATGCAAAAACAACCCAATTTGATTTTAAAAATAAAAAAATAAATAATCGAAAAGGCACATGATGGTCAATGAAAAGGTTCCAGATCTTGATACACTTCTTGTTTTTTCAAATTTTGAGAGTTGATCTTGATGAACAATTGACGTTTTAAAGAATGTTTCCAAACTGCATGGCGAAGAAGTTGCAGTTTAGGGTTTGTCAGATTGTCAGTGTTAGAGTTTTGTTCTTTTTCGTAGATGGGCATGTATATGCTCATTGTTTGTATATCCCCATCCCTTCCTTACAGCCAAAAACGTTAATGCTGCCCGACCGCTTCGTACTGCCTATACATGGACATGGCAACTGACTTACACAATCACCCCCATCATTATCATCTCCTATGTAGTATGCTCATAGGTCCAATTCCCTTGTCACAACCCTCTCCCCCCTTCCTTCCCCCTCTAGCTATGGTAAAATATGTAGTCATCCATTCACTCAAACCTAAAGATTAAAACCAATCTAAGCAAAAAGTTTAATTACTAGAATGTAGATATTTATTTAACAAAAAATGCTATATAAATCAAAGGCTCAAATATGTACAGTTTTTGTAAGAAAACTGGATTATTTATCAAAGTAACAACAAAAGAGAATAATGGTGAAGTTTATTTTTCATGTTATGTGGTGTGGATGTATGTGTTGTTGCCTCCCTGTACTCTCTCATGTGGGAAACAAAAATATATATCTAACCAGAAACACGATGACAGTCATTTTGTTTTCACAAAGAGAAAAACCTGTCCAAGAACATTCTTACACAACTTTCTTTTGTACGTTTTTTTTTTCTTCATGCCAAAATCATGCGGGCAATTTGTTGATGTAAGTTGACCAAAAATTATGATATGCTTATGTGTTTATGTTTGTAATATATATGCTTGTTTAAATTCTTAATATAACGAGATCAAGAAGTTCTGATCTCGATTTGCTAAATTATAATGTTGATATTTATATTGCCTGTTTGTCAGTACTGTATTGTGTGCTATGACTATTTATTGAGAACTTATGGTATTGGCTTTGGTCTATTTTTGTTATTATTAAAGTCTGCCTTTTTAAATTCTTTTAATTTTGAATTTTACTTTTATGCAAGTCTTAAACCTGATGGCAGTTTTATCTTACATTTGCAATAACAGTCTGAATATCTAGCAGGAAAAAAGTAGAAACAAACCTTCCATGTCCATGAAATTGAACTTTTTTTTTTTGTTGTTGCATGGTAGATACACCAAAATGTTTTCCTTCTAGTATTAGAATCACTCCTTCCTTTCTGAATAGTGACACATTATACTTGAAGAACTGAGCGTTTTACTGCTACTGTACTGTAGCATTTTAACATACAGAAAGCAGCATTCATTGTATTCTTTATTACTTAGATTTAGTTATTACTTATTAGATTTAGCTATTGCTTATTACTTAGATTAAAGTCTTGCCCTTCGATAACCAACCATATTCAATAGATAATTACAGAAATCATTCAGCTGTCATTGCATTATGGAGATAGTAGCTGCCATTAGGAAGGCTTTCTAAAGTCATTCAAAAGGCAAGAGTCAGTGCACTGCTGGGGAGCCACATCATACATCACATATGTGTGTGTATATATAGAGAGAGAGAGAGAGATGTTTTTCTACCAAAATATACAAGCTGTTGACTTTGTTTCACTTCTTATAAAACAGATGAAACCGTCATGAGGTGAGACTTCACCTTGTGACTTATATAATGATTTTCTTATATGGACTATATGTTGTTTTCTTCTGACATTTATTTTTAGATCATGAGACTTCATGGCAATAGGAAAGGTTTCATTCATACATTTTTAAATTATGCAAAATATTATTCCAAAAAATGTAAATATTTTTACAGTAAGGTCACAACTCAGTAAGTTAAAGCACTTATTAATTTTGTTTATTACTAGTTCATGTTGAAATGCATGAGCTAATTTTAACAAATGCACATGATTTATGTTAGTATTGTTAGCGCATGTTAATTGTTCACGCACAACCTTTTTTGTAAAGTATTACCCAGAAAGCAGTTAATTCAAATAGCTCACAAACCAGCTCACCCACAAAGTCCTGTCAAGTCCTTTTGATGCCAATTTATACTCGTTTATGATCGATATTGTTTCGCTTTTTTGTTTATTTATTTATTTATTTGTACATTCTGCCTTGTATCTGTTTTTTGTTTTTTTTGTAACCAGTTTTCGAGACTAACATGCCTCGTGTCTTGTGTTCAATTGTAGGAGGCGAATTAGTTTTCCCAGTATTTGTAAAGGATCCCTTAGAGATCCCCTCTGTAGCCACTCGTACACCCTCCATCCCCTTTCCCCCAACCCTCCGCCCCCACCTCACCATTATTGAGACCACCAAAGAGTCCCTGTCCATGGCCACTGAGGCGGGGGTACCTTGCTTGTCGGACCGAGGCAGCGATGATTGTGATGATGATGATGGCTTGATGATATCTGGGTATGGCTCTGGGGAAGCATACGACTCTAACCTGCCCCCTACTGATGATGAAGATTTTTACACCACCTTCTCCTTGGTAACAGATAAGACCTTGTCTTCGTCGACCTTTGAAGGTGGCTACAAAGCTCACGCGCCTAAGTGGGGATCCAAGGACTTTAGACCTAACAAAGTCTCCGATTCTGGTAGGACTACTACCACGTCTTTTTCCCCCAAGCTGAGCCGCTCCACAACCACGTCCACGCCACCCAAACTGCCCGCGGGCAAAATGAATCACAGGGAGCTAAAGCCCCAGCCCGACATAGTCTTGCTTCCATTGCCCACTTCCTATGAGGTAGGCAACACAAAGCTGAAGAGCCCATTAATAACCTCCCCCATGTTCCGTAATGTACCCACAGCAATCCCCACGGAGCCGGGCATCAGGCGGGTTCCGGGGGCCTCCGAGGTGGTCCGTGAATCTAGCAGCACCACCGGAATGGTCGTCGGGATAGTTGCCGCAGCCGCTTTGTGCATCCTAATTCTGCTGTACGCCATGTATAAGTACAGAAACAGGGACGAGGGATCCTACCAAGTGGACGAGACCAGAAATTACATAACCAACTCGGCGCAGAGCAATGGAGCAGTCATGAAGGACAAACAGCAGAGCGTGAAAAGCAGCAACAAGAAACAGAAAAACAAGGACAAGGAGTACTACGTGTGAGAATGTCGCCCGTCGCTTTGACAGAACTTTGAGCTGTTGGGCGCTGCGCCGAGAGAGGGCGACAGGAGCCGAACCCAGGCGCTATGCCGAGAAGGCGAACTGTACCATAAAGCACACTTACAACCGTAAGCATACCACGAAGGTAAAATAGCAAACATTAGTGACCTTATTCCTCTATCTGGTCGGAGACGTTATCAGTGTAGAATATTCCACAGCTACATCATAATCCTAAGTGACTTTTAGAGGTATGTGAACCTTGGCGTAAATCTCATTTTTCTTTTCTTTTGTAACTGTGAAAAAAAAAAGAGAAAAAAAAGAGGAGAACGTTAATATATATAAATATATATATATATATATATAAATTCTATATATAAGAAATTTGTATTGTTTATACATTACATGTGGTGTCTTATCAGTTTTTGCTCTCTGCAAAAAGAAGAAAAACACATTGTAATAAACGAAGACCTGTCACCAAGGCTCTGACAGCACAGCACTGTTAGAATTTCCAACCGAAACTGATCATTTTAATTGTACAACCAACTGTAATATTGCAAATGTGTGAGTTTCCAGAAAGACAGTGACATTTCCTTGTCTCAGTAAAGCGACTGATTGTAGTGCATGCCATGCCATCCTTCGCTTCGATCACATCCGCCCACCGGGCCGATCGGATCATCAGATAGACCTCTCGTCCCTCAAAGCGACTCGACAAGGGAACGTGTCGCAGATTGGAACTTTTTCAACCGTATGTATGTTGGTCCATTTGCTCTCGTCTCTTTTTTATACAGCTGTCTGGTGCAGACTGGCGCAGTGCTATGATACTGTTAAAGGATGTCTATATGAAAATAAATCTAATGTGAAAAGTGTGAAAAAAAAACCCTATCTGTTGTCACAGTCGACTGTGTCGAACGAGAAATTTGTTTACATATTTTATTACATGATAGCGGTTGTACTTTGTAGGTAGATGATGTACATACGAACCTGAGTTGTATTTTTTTTAGTAATTCTATTGTACAGAGAGATCATTTGATTATTTATTCAGTGTGTTTCGTGCATAAAAATCCGACACTGTCGACTCATGTGAAGGAAGAAAAATATATACAGTACACACACGTTTTTGTAAGGACAAGCAGAGAATATTGTTAGATTAGAGGTCTAATCATTCTCGCAGATGTTTCTAAGTCTAAGCATGGATATTTGACTACTTGAAGCTGTCAATGGAATACAAGACGCACTTCTTAATTGTACCAAGGTTTCCTTGTTATCAGTTGTTTTATTTATAGAAGAATCAAAGAAATATGTAATAAAGACAGCCTAATATGGATACGGACATGCAGCTCAGATAATTTACGCCGTGTGTTTCTTACCTTAATGTCTTAATACAAGTGGTCTGGACTGCAGTAAGCCCGGTCACATCGACACAATTTTTTGACATTTTTGCTCTTATTTTGTTCTTATTTGTTCTACCAAAAATATGATGTGAAGATGTGCCCATGTTATTTTTTAATCTTCATTTTCTGTTCAACCTCATGTGTGCTTTTATTATTTTCATTTATGACGTCATAGTCATGTAGCTTCGCTTCAGACAATAATTGGCAATGGTCTATAATAAAACATTCCATGGAGGTTGATCATACAAGGGTTGTCTTAATGTGCACATATCTATATACTCTCTTCAGTATGTGCGGCGATACATATTTTTCTATCATCCATCATGCTGGATGGCACGTACACTTTAATTTTCTGTTCTGTTAGGACCTTTTTAATGTGTTCAAGAGACTTGGTCTGAAATATGCCTTTCCTAGCATGCTTTTAATGCATGCCTCACTTTGTTTTTAGCACAGAAAAGGTGAGGTCGTCATTTGTATGGAAGAAAGATTGCATTTCAGTAGTCAATCAGAAAGCAAAAAGGAATCAATATTCATCAGATGTTGTACAGTATTTTCTTGGGAGATGCAGATTTATAAAAGAGTACCCACAATGACCTGTTAACAGCATAAGAGATCCTGAGCACAAAATATTCCTCTTTTGGTTACCAAGACAACACAAAGGTATAAATCAGAAGCTGTGACTTCTGTTGTGATTTAATTGTTTCATTAGATATGGTCATTAAAGTGTGCCTGACTATAAAAGAAATTAGGAGGACTTTTCTAATATGCTATTGTTCGAGAACAATATGATGCTTGAAATCCTGATTAGGAACAAAAGCATCAGCTTCTGTATGCATGCAACATAAAAACTGGCAGACTGATCATATGACAACAGTTTTCTACAAATGGTGAGAAGGTGAGAAATGGTGATTTGTTTTTGAGGATACCATCAAAATGTAAACTAATCACTAAAATTAATATAAATGTTCAATTCAGTTTCAGCGTCATTGGATATTTTCAGTTTTGTCAGATACACTCATGCTGACAGCCATTTGGAGCAACAAAGTGACCAGAAGTCATTCATTTTCAATGACAGTTGTCAATTTCCAGCCTCATGGGTTACAGTGACTGTTTTGACATGATTTGGGTGTGTCCAGATGCAAAAACAGTTGATAAAAGTTTATGCAAATGAGCAGCAACTACCTCAGTGGTCATTTTTAGCAGCAAAACAACTGATTCATTGTCAAAACAAAATGGCATATTATTTTTTTTACGGACAGTACATCTCATTTTTCAATGCTTTGGACTACTTGTAATAAATCTTAAAATGTAATAAGTAGTGAAACTTTTCAATTACTTTATTAAAATAATGTAACTGATTACATTTGATTACTTTTTGATTACTTTTCTCAATTTCTAATGTTTTCAACTATTAATCATTTTCAAGCATGTAAACCAGGCAGGGTTAACCTTACAGTACTGATCACTGATTACTGTCAGACTTTCAAAATCCTTCATCACATGAATTAAGATTATAATATCTAAATTTTAAAGGAGACATTGCATGCAAAATATCTTCATTTGCATATAAATGTGTCTTGGTAGTGCATAGACAAAACCACTCTACAATGATAAAAATCCATTCACTCCTTTGTTTAATCCCCCAAAAACCTAAACAGTTATCAAGCCAAAATGATGTCATATTGCTCAGGCCCCTCCCACGATGGCTGACGTACTGTCGCATATTAGCATATTTCCACCCTCAGCCAGTTATACGAAGTGCTCTAACGAATACACCTAAATTCGTTTATGTCTGCACAAATCATTTTACTCCAGACTGCTTTCTGAATGAGGCAGATTTTGTTAAAAAGTTCAAACTCAAGGATGGATCAATACCCATTGTTCGTGATCCAGCTGCACCTCCAGAAGTAGTAAGTCTCACACTTTATATATTTTTTATGATTATTTGCTCTTCCACAGAAGAGAGGAGCGGGGTGAGCAGAGCTTATTATCATGTAAAAAGATATGCACCGAAACGAGTCTCTGTGAACAGAGCTGTTTTTGACCAGGTAAAAAGGGTGTTGTTTTACACAACCACTGAGACCATTTCAAGAAGACCCTAAAGAATCATACCATCCTGACTACCAGAAAAAAACAGTTTTGTGAATTTAGTATTTTGTCATGTCAGATATTTTATTCATATGTTATGCCATGTCCTCTGTAGAGGACATCGGGACTTTAAAAAGTCCTGTTTAAAAAAAAAAAAAATTAAAAAACATGAAAAAAAATGAAAAGGCAAAAACAGAGGGATTTTTGTTTTAATCAGAAATCAATTTTTATTTTTTTATTCCAAACTTTATATAAAGATAATTCTCAACTATGTTATGAAAGATATTTTTAACTAGACAGACTTTAGCTGTTGCGGCGCAGACACGGTGTTACTCACCTATCGAGAAGAAACAAAGCAACCTCGGCGTCCGATCGCAGGCCTCCGCTCCTTGAGTTCTCTCCAGCGCTGGAAAGCTGATCCGATATTTACACGGGTCCTACTTCTTGCCTTAAGCCTTCTTTTGTTCCGCAGAGGTTTTCCTCTTTTGTTTTTTATCTGCCATCTCTATCTTTCTGTCGTCGCTCGGCTTGGCTAATGTCCATCCTGTGCACTGAACGTTCTCTCCTCCACATCATGAGTAGACACGCCCCTTACTGCTGATTGGCTACAAGTTTGTTTTGCTAATCGGCCTGAACTAGTTTTCTAAAGCATTTTTGAAAAATTGCTTACCCCACCTTTAATCTTAAAAAATAAAGCATTTACATAAACCTATACACTCACAGAAAAAAAAGGTACAAAAGCGGTCACTGGGGCAGTACCTTTTCAAAAGGTCCACCTTTGTACCATATTTACCCCTAAAGGGTGCATATTGGTAGCATAAATGTACATATTGGTTTCTAAAATGTACATATTATTAGCTTTTGACCCGCTATTGTACCTTTTTTTCTGAGAGTGTAGGAAATAAAAGAGTTATCAAATAAGCATATTATAAACTCCTCAAACGTTGGTGTTTCATATTTTAGAGCCCTCACTGCAATTTATGAAAGAAATCAATTAAATCTGTATGTGGGAGTGTATGTGAAAATAAAATCAGATGTAACCCCCCTTTGTAATCCTTAAAATTTTCATAAGTAACTGTAATTTCATTACACATTTTTTCTCAGTAACTGCAACTGATTACAGTTACTTTTATTTTGTAATTAAATAACGTAATTCTGTTACATGTAACTAGTTACTTCCCAACACTGCCAACAGGAATGCCTAACTAGTGACCTCCAGCAATAAAGTCACTATGAACTAGCATTAGACAAGTTTTTTTTTTTCTTTCCCCCAGATGCTGAACATAAGTCCATGTGTATAAAAAGAGCTGTTAGATCACACCCACCCATTCTTATGATTTCCAGGTGGTGGAAGTATAGTGAAAGAGGTTTGCAAAATGCTCCAAGAACTAACAATAAACTGATCTTTTTTCTTTTTTTTTTTAAACAACTGATGGTTGAATTGAATTCACAAAGTGCCACTTTTGTGTGTACTGTAGTATTTTAGCACGAAACCCACATCTTTTTCACTAACCACCCACCCAATCCAGCCATCCGGGTGCAAAATGGGCTGAAATTGCACCGTGTGTTAAATTCTCATTGCCATTCATTTTGGAAATTAGGTTCACACAACTCTGCGATACTCTACTGCAATTAATGCATGCTTTTGTGGCCATGTTTGCACCGTTACCTATTTTGCATAATTTAGTTTAATTTTCCTAGTGAGTTCCTCCCTGAGATTTTGCTTTTATTAACTTTTTTGAACAAAATGCCCTACATGATGTCTAATTCCTCCAAAGAGAGTTAAAAAGGATTACATGCTGAAATAATCTTTATTTA